ATAAGTAATAAGCTGAGCTGCAGAAGTGCACCTGTGGTCTGCAGCGATCAGCTCTATTAAAGGTCCAACTAAGCAAATAAAACAAGTATGACGATAATGACTCAACAGAATGAATGCAGCTGATTTACTTCCCCACTCATGAGACTGATTTTTACAACCTATTAAAAATGTCCATTTTGTTATGAAATGAAAACCAGACTCAAAAAAGAAAACAGTCTAAAAGCCTTTGCTACGTTGGTTCTGAACTACAGGAGAACTTTTCTATAATAACTCTAATAACTAATCCACATAGTCAGGGATCAGTGGCCTTTGACCCTTTGCACGTGACATCACGCGTAGAAACACCCCCTCGACACCATGAACAAGCTAGCCCAACACTAGCTTGTCCGTGAGCTTTATATCACTGATTTAGTGGATTTCAGTTAAATGGTAAAGGTCGGGTTAGGGTTAGGGTTAGCACTAACACATCTGGGATTAGCAGCAACGGGTTTAACCAGGTGAGATTAGGTCAGTCTGATGTTTGCTACAGCGCTCCTCCGTCACACCATGACAGGACAAAAGTCTAATGATGGATGAATGTGTGTTACTGGTGGCCTGCACTCATCCCAGAAAACAACGGTTGAGCCTTTTAACCTCCTCTATGCTTATTGGTCTGTTTTCAGCAGCATTTCCTTCTGCCTCCCGCCCTGGAGGCACACGAGCGTGCACCAGCTTTAAAGTTCAAATATGCATCTGGTTCTTGCTTGGAGAGTGTAAATGCAGGACTCACTCAGAAAGCCTCTACTTCTAGACTTGAAACGGCCGTGTGTCTACCCGATGCATGATGGTTGTGTTAGTGTTGTGGCTGCGTAAGCGTTAGTGATGAGGAGGAAGGCATGAGGCTATTCCAGCCCGTCCCTGGCGAGATTTCCCCTGTGGCTAATAGCTTCCCACTCCCACTTCGGCTCTCCGGACTGGTTATTTGACTTGTTTTGAAAGAGGCCACTGAACTGTTGGAAAGGCCACCTTCACTCAGCCGCCTAGTCCTGCCATCCCGTTTCCAGGCAGCGCAGTCATTTCCCAGCCCAGTGGAGCAGCGCTCCCTGACCTCTGCCTGGACCTCCGTCTCAACAGGCCAAGCTCCAGCTCCGGTCCAGAGAGCCGGCTCGGGCCACCTCTACTTATTTATGAGCCATTTCACACAGAGCTGCTCCCATTAGAGACCCAGCCCCAGCCCCCCCTACACGGCATTCTCATCACCTTTAACACATGGAGTAGACGTCAGACAGCGGACATGGCTGGGCGGTGGAAGAAGACCATTAAAGACCATAGAAGTGAGCACACAGGTGCAGTCACACTCAGAGATCAGAGAAACAAACACGGCTAATAACCAGCAGCAGGGGCGCCAGCCGCATCCTTCCTGCTTCTATCTGCTTGGTCTGGGTGACGAATGGCTGCTGAACCCTCCTTGGAGAAATGATCACCTACTGCTCCGACTTACCGATGCAGAAAGACTCACGGGTCGTGTTTATTGAACACTTGTGCAGACGAGTTTTACTGCAGCTTTGCTTTGACCAAGCACGACAGAGGGACACGTCCAGCCTCCGCAGCAGAGTGTTGGGCTGACGGGATCCACGAAGCACACAAGAATGTAATGAGACACTTTGTTTGTGCGCGACTGTAAACACAACAAGTCTGTTGCTCCTGGGCTGCAACACTTAAACTCTACAGGAAGTTGGTAAATCTCTGCTGTTGCTTATGCACCAGCTGACTGAAGCCTCTCGAGCTGTTAAAAGGCATTTTTCCGTTTATTTTACTGACATTCCCACAGCAGGAAGCAGAAACTCTGCCTGGTGATGAGCGTTAGCGTAAATAAGAACACACCAGGGCGGTTTTATTGGGAGACTAACGATGAATATTTGGTTCACTTTCAGTTTCACATTAGAAAGCAGACAAAGCACCAGGACAACGTCACACAGCTGATCCACCGGGGCGCTATTGCCACAACTAAGCATCGACCATGAACTGCACTGCTCTGGGCGGCTGCATGTTGGAGTAGCTCTGTTGACTATATGTAAGTTTTGCCTTTTCTTGGGTATTTTTTCTTCTAGTTTCTCAAGAAAAACTGTATTTTTTTGGACACTTTACTTTTCTGTTTCTGGTGCTGTGAAAATTGGAGGATTTTTACTGCTATTTTTTTTAGCTTTTTTCACTTTTTGAGCATTTGTTATGATGTGTAACCATGGCAACCGTCTGGTTTACAATCGGGAGCAGCTGATTAACATTGGAAAGGCTGAAATAATACCTCAACTGAAGCCACAAATCCCAAATGAGCTAAAACACAAGAAGCGTGGGTGCAGAGCGGGAGCCAAACGGAGACAGATAAAGAGGAAATTCAAACCATCTCTTCCATCGATCGTAATGGGCAATGTGAGATCACTGGCCAACAAGATGGAGGAACTCCAAGCCCTTTCGAGGACTCAGCCAGAGTTTTGACAGTTTTGGAACCGCTGGAGGAGATAATGCAAAGAAGGATTCTCCAGAGAATCAAGAAAATGATGGACAACCCTGAGCGTTCTCTTCACAAGACTGTCCGACAACGGAAGAGTGTCTTCAGTCAGAGGCTTCTTCAGTTTGGCTGCAACACTGACCGCTACCGGAGATCCTTCCTGCCAACAGCCGTTGTAATATACAACACCTCTTTGATGACTTGATTATTATTATTATTCTGAGCTACTACAGCAATCAATGTCCCTCTGGGATTAATAAAGTATTCTTGAACTGAATTGAATTGAATAGAAGGTAAAAGGCATGGAGGCATGCCAGCGACTTCCCTTCCCTTTGGTTCACCGGCTAGTCCGTTTGCTTTTCCAAGGTTCTGACGTTCCAGGCAGACCAATGTTCTAGTCCCGAGTTCAGACCTGCTCAGATGAACCGGCAGCTCCCATTGGAGGCTTCAGGATCCCGCCCATCCAAGCCTCCCCATTGGACTCTGATGTTTGTATCTGTGCTGTTTGTGCTTCCATGTCAAGGAGTTTTTTTGTATAATAGAGTTACTCCCCGCTGGGTCTAACTCTGCTATGTCTTTTTTGTTGCCTTACCCCCACTTATCCTCATGTAACACCCTTTTCATTAAGGTAGCGCAACTCATGTTGCGAATGACTGCAGTCACCAATTCTTGTCATGTGTCCTACCCATATATGTCTGATCTCTGAATTGTGTGCACTGAAACTCGATTTCGTTTCTCTGTATGTCCTGCACATGTGGTAGAAATGACAATAAAGACGACTTTGATGAAGTTGGGTCAAACCAGGGCCGTAACAGATGCACTTGTTTAGCCCGGCTCTACTAGTGGGAAACAAACCGAAGATTCCCAGAAAACTAATCTGCTCCTGAAGTGGACGTGAGGACGGCTTCCCACCTGTGATTGTGACAAAGACGAAGCCCTCCTCTCCAAGCAGCGGGTTGATCAGCCGGCAGCTGTAGGTGCTGTTGGGTTCCAGCACAACCGTTAGCACGCTGGTCACCATGAACAGCCCGTCGCCGTTAGCGACCACTGATGTGGTGATGTTGTCCGTCAAGTTACGGCCACTTCCATCCTGCCATATAACATCGCCTTCAGGATACCCTCCATATGCCAGACACGTCAGGGCCACCTCATCGCCTGGACGCAGGTTGGACTCGGGCTCTAAAGTCAGCACAGGCTTGGTGTACGGAGCTGGAGCAGAGAAACAAAGACACAGGGCATGAGAGAGCAGCAGATGCATGTTTGACGTTTCTCTGCAGCTTTCTCCTGATTACTAAAGCCTAGCTGATGCTTCTGTGTCAGCTCCACGAGGGAGAGATGCACTGAAGGAGACGTTTGGCTCCCGTACGTGTCCTTCTCCTGTCCCTGCCAGGACAACAGAGGGTGCAGCGCTGTTCTGGGGTCCCCTGTCCTGTATCCGGTCCAGGTTGGTGCATTTACTATTGTGTTTTTGTATCACATAGATTTTTTAGCATGAACAAACTTCTTCTCCACCTGTTCATGCACTCGCCACCTCTAAACCCACGTTGTCTGTCTGATCTCAGGCTCAGGGGGAGAGAGGTCCAGAGTCTGGGGGCCACAGCAGAAGATGATCTGTCACCTTTGACCTTTAGCCTGGTGCTGCACAACCAGTAGGCTTTGATCACTGGACCTCGGGGACCTGCTGGGGGTGTAGGGACTAAGAAGATCACCAATGTAAGATGGTGCTTGTCCATGTAAGGCCCTATAGACCAGAACCAGGATCTTGAAATGAACCCTGAAGTTGACTGGCAGCCAGTGAAGCTGGAGGAGAAGCGGGGTGATGTGGGTGTGTTTGGAGGACTTGGTCAGAAGCTGAGCACAGGCGTTCTGAACCACCTGTAGACGGTTCAGGGAGGTTCTGCTCAGACACGTGAAAAGAGAGTTACAGTAGTCTAAGCGTGAGGAGATGAAGGTGTGGAGAACTGTCTCAAGTTCAGAGCGGGACAGAATGGGACTCAGCTTAGCAATGTTCCTGAGGTGGAAGAAGGAAGAGCCAACAAGAGAACTGGCATGAGAATCCAGGGTGAGAGCTGGGTCAAAGGTCACGCCAAGATTCCTGACAGAAGGTTTGGTGTGGGAAGCAAGCTGACCAAGAGAGTCTCTGACTTTGGGAACCAGCTTGTCTGGGGCACAGATGAGGATCTCAGTCTTATCTTCATTCAGCTGAAGAAAGCTCCCACCATCCAGGTTTTGATAGAGTCTAAGCAGGTGTGTAACAGCTGCAGCTTAGACATCTCATGGGGCTTAAAGGAGATGTACAGTTGGATGTCATCTGCATAAAGATGGTAGGAGATTCCTTTTAAGGAGCTCAGGATGTGCTGAAGAGGAAGCAGATAGAGGAGGAAGAGCAGAGGCCCCAGCACAGAACCTTGTGGGACACCATGGGTAAGAGAGGTGGTGGAGGACCTAAACTTGGAGACGGCCACAGAAAAGGAGCGCTCAGAGAGATGAGATGAGAACCACTCCAGAGCAGATCCTGATAGGCCTACCCAGTCTCTCAGCCTCTCCAGCAGCAGGTGATGGTCAACAGTGTCAAAGGCTGCAGTCAGGTCCAGCAGGACCAGAACAGAACCGTCCCCTGCATCACTGTGAGTCAGAAGGTCATTAGAGACCCTAAGAAGAGCTGTTTCAGTAGAATGAGCTCTACGAAAACCTGACTGGAAGCTATCATAGATGTTATGTTCATCAAGAGCAGCTGTGAGTTGTTTAGCCACAACCTTTTCCAAGATCTTGGAGATGAACGGAAGTTTAGAGATGGGTCTGAAGCTGCTATGGAGAGAGGGGTCGAGACTCGTTTTTTTAAGAAGCGGGTGGATTACAGCGTTCTTAAAGTAAGCAGGGACCTGACCAGAGACCAGAGAAGCATTAATTATAGAGAGCACGCTGGGACCGATGGACTGAAAAGCACTTTTAAACAAAGATGAGGGTAAGATGTGGAGGGGGCATGCAGAGGTCTTCATAGAGTTAACTAGTTTGGTTAATTCAGGCAAAGAAACAGGAGCAAAGCTATCTAGGATGATGGGTCTGGTTGGAGTCGGGAGAGGCAGCGATAGGCTGAAGGAGAGATGCTAGATCTAACCTTATTGACTTTGTCCACAAAGAAAGACAGAAAGTTCTCACAGTCTGCAACAGAGTGGATGGAGGCTGTAGGAGAGGCAGGAGAGACGATGCTGAAGCATAAACTAGGCTCAAGGCCGTATCTGTGCTGCACCTCTTTTCTGTGATGCTAGTCCCTACAGAAGACCAAGACATGAACCTGAAACAAAATGACGGCACAGAGGAAAGAAAAGTTGATAAAAAAGAATACAGGCAGGAAATGTGAGACATCTGAGTCCACAAGCTAAAACACAAGTAAAGACATGATGTTGAAGAACGGCACCAGAATCCAAGTCCAGGAGCCGAGATGGAGATCAAACATCTTCATCTGAGTTGGTTTCCTTTCTTGTGCAGCAGCACGAAGGACGTCTCCAAGAGTAAAGGTGGAGCACTAATACACACTAGTGCGGAGAATAAAATGAAGCCAACAGTGCCGGTGTTGGTGGACCATCTGAACTTTCCCTGGTGGATGAAAGCAGAACGTAACTCATCGTAACGCCGATCCTTGCTGGGAGCTCTCACCACAGACAGAGGGGTGGGACGGCCCTCGGTGATGAATAAAATCCTCTCAGCTGTGATGCTGGACCATGTGGTGGCACACCAGAGCAGATGTTAGTGGTGGCTGATTGACCGTGACAACAGCTAATAATCAAAGTCAGCAGATATTGACCATGACAGAGGCCGCAGTCAGCGCTTATTGACAAAAACCATCCAGAGGAAGACGTTTATCACCTGTTTACACCTCGTGGAAGGAAATGGCTACACTGCAGGTGTGTAGGTGTTCAGTGTGCGTTTCAAACAGGAAAAGACAAATAATGGTTTAGTCTGGTTTGGATTAGTTTAGTTTCTAGGAAACCGACCGGTCGTGCCCTGCATAACTAATGCCTGTGGACACAAATGCATCCAACTGAAAGTCATTTATCATAGTAAATGTTTGATTTAGTTTCTTTATTCAGTTTGAAACTAGTTAGTCACACACGTGTTCATATTCTAGAGGTTTACGTGTCCTCAAGCGTGGTCACGTTGTTTTCTACCTGATGCTGGAGGCAGGTTCCACGTATGTTTATCAACCCACCAACAACGTAACGTGTGAAAATATCTCAGCTGATGTTTTCGTGCACGTCGGTCTCCAACCTTCTCCTGAAGCTGGTGCATGAGCAGAAACCAAAAGGCCCTCTAGTGGCTGGCTGCAGTATAGGTTTAAAGCCCCGCCCCTATTTGTAAAGAGTTTAAACACCGTTCTGACTGAAGTACCTAAAAGTACATTTCTGTTGCAGAGTCCAGCTTTAAAAGTACAGCCTGATGCTGCATGCTAGCAGCTGGTAGCACTGGTGCCTCGCAGCAAGAAGGTTGCAGGTTTGAATGCCATGAATGAACTTTCTGTCGTTTGCAAGTTTCCATGAATGCGTAGATGGTAAATGGCCTGCATTTGATACAGTCCCAGAACCCCTCAAGGCACTTCCTCTCCACTGTCACTAAATGCTTCCTTAGCCAGAGGATAGCTGTAAAACAGGGCTATTCAATTCCAGGCCTCAAGGGCCGAAATCCAGCACGTTTTAGTGGTTTCTCTGCTCCAACACACTTGATTCAGTGGTTGAATCACCGGTGCAGCAGCTCATCAGGTTCTGCAGGAGCCTGTTAATCACCTGCTGATTATAATCAGGTGTGTTGAAGCGGAGTTAAAACCAAAACGTGCTGGACACCGGCCCTGCAGGCCCGGATTTGAATAGCCCTGCTTTACAGCAATCCTCATACTAAGCAGGCATGCAGCGACAGTGGAGAGGAAAACTCCCTTTTAACAGGAAGAAACCTCCAGAGGATCCTGGCTCAGTATAAGCAGCCATCCTCCATGACTCACTGGGGATGGAGAAGACAGAACACACACACACACACACACACACACACACACACACCCTGGTGGTCATGATCTAGTAGCCACCGCTGCCCTGGGGCAGAGATAGAGAGGCTGATGAACACAGGCGCCGCCAGCCCCTCTGACCACCACCAGCATGTGTGTGTGTGTGTGTGGGGGGGGGGTTAGGGTCTTGCCCGAGGGCACAACGGCTGCAACAGACCAGTAGGGCTGAGCAGGCGTGCGGAGAACATGCAACTCAACGCAGAAAGGTCGCAGCCGATTTTCGAACCTGCAACCTTCTTGCTGCGAGGCAACAGTGCTAACCACTGCGCCACCGTGCAGCCCAGACCGATCGGTTAACACTGACCTGAGGAGCAGTTTCAGCAGTTCATAAGTGCAGTGATTAAAAAGGTGTTCGTGTTTGATGTTTAACGGACGTCTTTGGTGTACTTTGAGCTCGTGCTCCATCATGAGGTGCTCTGCCCGTAGCACAGTGGGTGTGGTTGTAGCCACTGTGCTGTGCTACGTGCCCACCGTCGTGTCTGCGGCTAGAATCGGAGCTCGGCCTCGCTCCAGCAGAATGGGCGGAGCTCTAACCTGCAACCTTACAGTTACACACTCCTCTGCCTGTTGTCCGGTGGCAGTTTGACAATCCTGGTTGTTCATTTTTTCTCTTTTCGCTTGAAATTAAAATTTGAGATTGACTGCTAAACCGCCGCCGAGGACAGCGTCGTTGGATTAGATCAGATTTGTGGCTGATGGACATAAATGATTAATTGGGAGGACAAATTGAAGATCTTCTATGAGAGAGACCCGGCTGGCACCCCACACATCTGCCACAGCCCCCACAGGCCATCTGCATCCGTCTCACGGTAGAACTACAACCCAACGGTAGCGCAGGTCACAAGCAGGACCGCCCGGGTGAAAGGAGCTCTGTGGCTTCAGCAGGTGGGTATGCGATGACGTGTATCATCTCACAGGTGGGACTCACCGGCCACCTGCAGCAACAAAGCAGCACTGCCGTAGTCCTGCACCATGACAAAGCAGGTGTAGCTGCCTTCATCAGACACCAGCACGCTGCTCAGCAGGAGGGAGGCGTTGCCTGCTCGCAGCTGGGTGGGGAACAGGCTGGTACGATTGGCGAAGCTCTCTGCCTGGTCCGTCAGCTGGTCACGCCCCTCCGAGTACCCATGAACACCACGTTTGGTGTCTGTCAGTTGCCAGAAGATGCTCACGTCGGACAGATTGAAGGGACTCGTGTGGTTGAAAGAACAGTTGAGAGTGACGTCCCTGCCATGCAGCGCCACCACTGGCTGCTCTGGGACACGCAGTTCCATCTCACCTGTAAGACACGAGGGACAGGAACTGATCAATCAACAGGAACTCTGAAATATACAGATGATTATGCTTTCGCTGCACAGCTCATCTCAGACGGGGTTGTAGATATCGGCCATCCTATTCGGGTCTTACCTGTGGAACGTTATTGTTCTAACCCCTGCTCAAACCCCAGCGCGAGCTGCTTCAGCATCATCCTGGCGTGTGGAACGGTGAGATGAGAAGAAGAGACCTGGAGGTAAGCATTAGGGCTTTGCCTCCTGGTGATGGCTCGGTGCGGTGAAACCCACTAACGGAGGCAACATCTGTACAGCTTTAGTTTAATCTCAGAGAGATACGCTGCTGAAGGAGAAACTCAGCAGAACTCTGTTTCAGAGAAAATGTAAACACCTGCCTTCCTGCTTTCTCGTGCCTCTGCGTGGACGATCTTGTGTGTTCGGGTTGTCTAGACTCGTCCGAGAGCAACGAGTACCCTGCATCACCATCCTGGATTAGCAGCCATAGGCAGCCTGCACGATATCCACAGTATTCTCAAGAGTCAACATTCTCCATCGATCCTTGTCTGCTGTTATCCAGCTCTGAGACACTCATCAGCATCACGGGGAGGAAAATCCAGCCGGCCCTCGGAGCAACACCTACTTCATCCCCAGCCCCTCTAACTGTTGGAATCAAGGTGGCATTTCAGCCTCCTCCCCCTTTTGAGCTGCATCCATCACACGGCCAATGTCAGCGCTGAAGCACTTTGCTGTGAAGGAGATCTGACCGCTGCAGAGGTGCAATAATGACGTCCCTATAAACAACAAACAAGCCTTTTATCCGAGAGGGTTCGTACGGATGGGCATTGCTACGTCAAGGCAGCCCTGTTCTCAATCACATTCAGCCAATCCCTGCAAGGTGGCCTCTCCACATCACCTTTACCTGCACAGACAGTGCCACCTTGTGTCTCCCCTCATGAGTGCAGAGGAGAGAGCACAAGAGTGTAGCTGTCAGCGAGGGCGCTGGAGTCGTAAAGACTTATGAGAAACCTTTCAGAGAGAAAATAGGTTTATTTCACCTACACGAGTTTAAACTACAAATATGTCCGCCCCCGTCGCTACGACAAAGGAGAACAAAACTGCTTCTAAAAGAAACCCACCCTGTGGGGCCGGCAGGCCGGCATTACTTCCCTTCAGCTCAGCGCTGCTCCACAGTTCTGACCTGGAACAAATCAAAGTGTCCGTACCAACCGAGTGCCACTCACAAAACCGTTCTCCGACTGCCACAGTGAAGCTGCTCCCCGTCTCTCTAAAGTGCAATTACAGAAGCTCTTCTGCTGCTGTGGGGTTATCTCCCCGCTCCGTGCTCGCCGTCGCTCAGCAGGACTGCACCGCCCGAGCGGCGACGCCAGCACATGCTGGACTGGGTTTTTCTGCATCTTTGGAGGTGGTCAACGCTTCGCAGCGCTGGTGATGTTTAGTTCTTCTGGAGTCGAGGGTCAGTGACGGCCCTTTCTGAGACGGGCGTGTTGGAGGAGGAGGGGAGAGAGCAGTTAGATCACTCCCTACCTCACACCACTGACTTCATACACAAAGGGGGACCAGACTGGGGCTGAGCTCACACTTAAAGATAATATCTGGAAACAAGCCAGAGTGTGTGACGGAGCCCCACACACACACGAATGCCCAGGTCACAGACAGAGAGACGTACAGGCTTGCCTCACAGCTTCTTTCACCAGCGACTAGCACTCCCCCCAAGGCCCTGAGAGGACGCAGCTCCACAGAAGCCTCTGCAGAGGCACCCACCTGCACGTTAAAGGCAGCACGAGGCTGGACGGGGGCGTAGGGCAAGCCAACATGGCTGACATCATGGAAAATGCACGCGTGTGGTCCGCGTCGTCAGTAGTCAAACACCACGGTCCAAAGCCGAATCACTGCACCCCCGGTTGCTTTTGATCTGCCCGTGTTTACAGCGAGCGTGTTGTCTCATCTCTCCTCGGTTTACTGAATAAAAACATGTTTCTTACAGCAGACAAGCAGCAGTCAGAGACTAAAGGTCTCTAGTGAGGAGCCGTTCCGCACCTCGTAGCGAGGCCTAGCCCCGGGGGCGAGCAAGGATATCACATCTCCCTTCCTCCTCTCGATAAAGAGATGCTCAGAAGCCACGGAGGGCCGGCTGGGAGGCGTCGGGCGGAGGGGATTTACACGCCGCACGTTGTGTTTACGGGCCTCAACTCTGTCTGAGTGTGTGTGAGCAGGGAGGTTCTCGTAATCACACACACACACACACACACACAGGTGCCTTGTATTGTCCTTGACACACACACAACAATACTACATGGTTTAAATTAGCATTATGTGCACAGATTACTTTCATAGTTCACTGATTTATTCAGCCGTGTGCTCCAGAGCTGCCGGCGCTGATGTGTCTGTCGGTTTGTGATTCAGCAGCGAGGTCTTCCCCCTCGCAGAGCTCTGATGGTTTCAGTCAGGCTGAGCCTCTCGGTGAGCTTTACGCTACAGCTTTCCTTCATGAGGGGGTCTTTGAACAGCTGCTGGTCATCAGAAACGAGATGTTTCGTCACAAACCAAGAATATAAACGTACATGGAAGCATCGCAGCGGTTCCCTGCATCAGGAGGCACGTTATGAATGGCAGCATGGACAAAGTAAAGTACACGACTATGCAGGGCGAACTGGTGACAGGAGGAGGCGATGCTTTTACAACACTGCCCCCATCTGGTAGCCTGCACAACTGCACTGCAACACATTGTCATTCTGGACAGTTTTCAGCAGCTAAACATCAAAAGGAGCTCGCCTCAAAAGCCCGCCGAGCCTTTTTGTCACTAATAATTCTCACGATGCGTCCGATGGCTCGTTCGGTCTGAAGGGAAGGGCCCGTTCTGATTTAACGCCGTCCGGAGCAGATGTTTAAATGTGCTGACAGTTAAGGAGGGAGAATATGATCTGAAGCATCTTAAGCAGCTGGTGTGGTTTGGATCAAAATGACAAATCTGGAATATTTCTGAGTGAAAACTGCTTTTCCCATCAGTGAGATGGAGCCAGTTTGGGAGCGCTCTGCTCTCCTAAAGAACAACGTTCAACAATAAGTGCTGAGAATGCTCTCCTCTATTTTCCCTGGAAAACCCATCATGGAGTGTGTGTTTCTCCACCACGGCACAGATACAGGTGATGGCTCATGAATCACAAAGGAACTCACTATTCCTCTTTTCCCCTACTGCTACTTCCTCCATGTTCCATTCTTCACGGGGATAAGCCATCTCATATCCCATCAATAACCTGCTAATGGACTCCAGCATTCAAATGCTCCAGTCTGCAGGAGAAAAGTGGGCAAATAAAGGCGAGCCTCTGGCGTACACGCCTGGGGGACAGGGAGCCTTTGATGAGCTGCAGGCTGAAACGGGCGGCAGCTTCAGGCAGCGGCAGGGTCACGAAGTCGGGCGTGAGCTGAATACGACCACGAGCCACAACGACCCAAAAACAACAAAAAGGAACTGGTTCACGTGCAAAATGTAGTTCTTGGTCAGTAAAAGTCACGACTGTTCAGGTTTATTTGGAAAGGTCATAACCATCAGAGGAAAATGAACCCTGAGTTTTGACTGGCAGGCAAAAATAACCGAAGCAACACCACCCAACGTTTGTACGGAGAGAAAAGGCCGTAAATGAAGAGATTTGATCTTTCTCACTGAGGTGAGAGTTGGTACTGTTGCCAGGTGCTTGTCTCAGTGGCAGAGCCGTGCCACAGCCACACCACCCAGTAATCGGGGATCTACACGTGGCTGGTTGCAGCAGCGTCTCCGAGACTTTCCCAGCACCAATCGGCACCATTCACCACGTTCGTCACAGCCCTCTAGACCCACCGGTCAGCATCTGGCTGCAGGCCGCTCTTCCCCTCCAGGACTGAAATCGTGGCATGCCACTGGTATCAATGTTTTACGACACCCCCCCCCCCCCCCCCCCCTCCCAAGGCAGCATTTTTAAGAACTTGTTGAAAAAACCACGAGGTGGTGGTTGGCTAATGCAATTAGCTTCAGCGAGTAAGTGTTGAGAAAAGAAGAGCCGACGGAGACAGCTCATTGTGCATGCACTACAACAGAGCCGGTCCTCGATGGCTTTAAAGGATGCTTTACTGGACACAACCACATTAGCAAGAGCATCACTGATACGGGGTAATGGCCTTAAATTGAAAATCTGCACAGGCTAAAGTGTCCCCTCTCTGCAGAACCAACTGATGTGAAGAGAAGAGGCGAGCAGGGAGAAGTCCGCAGACCTTTAAAAGCACACCGGAGATGAGCGGGCTAGTTTCACGCTCTACAACGATGTGTGCCTGCCTGCCGACCACGACACTCGTCTCCAATTATGCTCGTTAATTTCAGTGACCTCACAGCTGCCATCATTAGGGCGGCCTTCCTTCGGCCTATCTGCAGGAATACGACTGTCTCGTTGTTTTGGTGCTAGGAGCGGCACACGGAGCGCCCTGGCAGCTTTGTGGCTGTGCTAACTGAGCCCGCACCATGACAACAACAAGCTATTCGCTCGACAGCCTCCTGTTAGCTCCGCCGCTGGCTGACACTGCTGTGTGTTACATGCTGACGCGAGCCGAGGACATTACTTTCCTAAGCTAACTGTTGTGGCCCACTCATTACTGCACACACAGTGACAGCGTGTGCATTTCGCTGACACTCTAAACTACAACAGCTTGTGTGCTTGATGACAGATGAAGCTATTAAAAGTACCAAGGAGGGTCGGGGGTGCAGGCCGCGGTGGATCTGGATGGCAAACAAGTCCACCTGGTTCTTTAATGGTGGATTTAAATAAACACGTTCTCTCTGTGCAGCACTGGGTGAGAAACAGCCGGGGGAGGGCTAATGTCTGGAGACACTGGCGTTCCCTCGATAAGCCCCGCCCTATCCCACTGAAATAAGCCCATCACCTGCTTCAGTCATGGCAGCGCTTGTTTACTCCTAACAAACTAACGTCCATCACTTAGAATAAAAATAAGCTGTAATTAGGAATTTGGTTTCATTCTCGACATGCAAGAGTTTGGCGTGCTGGGAAATCTGTCCCATCCAATCAGTGATCAGCATGTATCAGCAGGGACCACATCGGTGGAGCTCCACCATCGAGCGCTGGACAAATAAGAAGTGGATGACTTCGTTTTTTTACCACCTTTGAAGCTTTGACCAAATTTGGCGATGTTTAATGAAACCAAAGGAGCGGCGTGATGGGCGTGGCTTCGGTATCGTTGCAGCTGTGTGATGGGGAAGTGTGCAGCATCACACTCCACTCCCACTAATTCACTTAGTGCTCCGGTTAGCAGAGAGGAAGTGAATCACCGTGCGAGCTGCAAGAGCCCATTACCTCCGAGGTAGAGCTCCACCAGTGCACGGCGCCTCCTCGCTGTGAGGGGGGCGAGCGAGGCCCAATAGTGCTGGGAGAGAGCAGGTCCCTGATGAGCCACTGAAGACACGCAGGTCCACCAAGCCGGACTCAGACGTGCTGCTGATGCTCAACTAGAAAGCTTCTCCAGCCAGACACAACAAGAGGATTATAGTGTTGGTTTTAGGGTCTGCCAGAGCCCCGATCGTATCTTTGGTACCGGCGTCCGGGTTCTAATTCCATTTTTACTTCGTCTTTATGTCTGTGTTATAAAAAAGAACTAAAACTGGTTCAAACGCAGTTTCAGAGTTACGGGCGCTCGTGTTTTCCTCCTTCCTCCGCTCGTGTTTCTGACGTTTTGATTAGCAAGCACAACGTGTCGGCTGCACGCCAGGGACACACCTGGCGTTACACACACGCGTTGTTCACCCCGTGCTGACGTGCTCCATTTCCTTTTTTATTTACTGAGTCATGAGACTAACCCACGGGCTGTTTGTTCCCTTTTATGACGACACCAGTGGCTATGGGAGCTCGTTTCCACTGAACACAGACTTCTGAGGCGAGTCATGAATCCTCAGTTGCACATCAACCAGCGCCACGCTGCTTCTCTCGTGTTGTAACTATGAGAGGATGATTTCCTCACTGCGCTCGTTTGAGTCACAGCAGAAAAGCTGCTGGTTTCCGTGGAAGGCCTCGTCCGGGCCTCCTGCTCTCCCTGTTGGAAAAGCTCAGAGCATAAAAGCACGCCAGTGTCATGAAGATTAAACTCAGACGGGACGTCCCCAGCACCTGGCCCTTCGCCTGTGCACACGGGACACGAGGACAAACGGCAGGAAGCTCTCGGTAGACTCGTCTGGATGGATGGAGCGTAAGTGGGGAGGTCCAGGACTCAGACTAAAGGGGCGTTATGTCTGGGTGTAACATCAGAACAGCTGTTTCGCTGTTGAAGCGTTTGAAGGTGTTTTCTGCAGCATTCCCACTGCAGCGACCCGGATCTAACGGAAGGAGACGAGGAGCGGAAACACCCACCCATCACTGGGATTGTCAGCATCACAGGCAGCAGCAGGGACAGCATGGTGTTCCACGGTGGATTCAAGCAGCAGGCCAACGTCTTCAAGCAGCCCTGGGGAGACACAAAGACACGTCTGAGAAGGACACAACGACAGTGACAAACTGAGTGGGGCTTGAACCTGCAACCTTTCCAATTACGGGGCAAGGATTTAACTCCCGTTCCACCGCGCGTTCGTAGTCCTGGACGCATTTTCACACAAAACCTAAAATAACATCCCCCCGTTCTAAAATAAGCGTTCTTGGTATCAAATGCATCTTTTAAAGTCGCAGACATCGTGGCTGAAATCCATGACACAAGACAAGCGGGATTAGAAAACTACGTTTTTAGCCCCGTTGACTTGCGTTCGGTTTGTCGTTCTTCCGGGGACCCGTGGCCCGGAAGTAGATGGGCGTGACTTAGGCTTCCCATTCACCCAACAACCGTCCTTCCATGTGGAAGTTTTTACTTCCTGGATCACAATTTGGAACAAAGTGAAATAACTGAACGGATAAAAGTCAACTAAAGAAATGACAGGACTCTGTTAGGCGAGAGGAGAACGTGGAAACACAAATACGCTGCTTTTGTTTTTTATCAGTCAAACACAAACAGACCTGAGATCTGCTGGGATCACTGTGACCAGCATAGGTCTCACTAGCTCTATAAATACCGTGTCACGGTTTGGCTTAACGATGCCCGCGCGCCTGTACAGCCTCAGCTGATCAGCTGTTGCAGGTTTGGCTCCATGAACTAGTTCATCTGTGCAGCTCCACCTCACGGCTCTCCCGCAGCTTTTTTCCATGAACATCCGCTTACGGCTGCAGCAGACAGGATGTGGGCAGGAGTTTGGGTTTAATAGGCAGTTTCCATCACAGCTCTGTTCAGCACGCGTCCAAAAGGCCTGCAGAAGCTGCAGCTGCGTAGAGCTCCTGAGATGGCCTAACCTAGACAGCAACCATCTCGGCAGCAGCAGCAAAGGAATAAAAATATTCGACAAAGAAAAGAGCAGACGGACAAGACTCCTTAGATTTAATCCCGACGATAGCATGAAGTGAAAAGTGCCAACAACACAAACCGCAGTCTGACTCGGGCACGTCCACACACCAGGAAGCATCAAAGGGGCTTTCACAGAATGACTCAAGCACCTTCCTGACCCGCGCCAGCCTGCAGGCCCTTGGTTTACAACTCACCCTGATGTCAGTGGTTAAAACCAGCCCAGCCCACAGCTCCAGAGGCACATGAGACAATAACCTTCAAGGTTTGAGATGATGGGCAGGAAAACAATCTGTAGATGAAAAGTGAAGAGCTTCTCGTTCAGGTTCAGTGGTGCTCCTGGCATTGGTTTGGAACGGCACCATTTAAAGGCTGTAAATGTGAAGAAGACGCCTCTGGAGGACTGCGATGGGTCTGGAGAGTGGCTGTCAGCCCATGAGTCATAATCATCCATGTATGTCATTTAGTCTCTACGCTAAGACTAAACTTGCTACTGGGGTCACAGAGAAGATGAATGATCTCTGAGTTGCACCGATCATCAGGATTTACAGTAGAGCTGTGCTAACAGCACCTTTCTAGTTCTTTACTGCAGCCATCCAGCTCACCACAACGCAGCTGACTGGGCTGAGATGTTCCACTAGCATGTGGCTAATTTCAGCCAAGCCCCGGGAACCACTGGAAACCCCCGTTCCCATGGCGACAGGGCCAACATGAGCGAGCCCTTCTAGTTCAGACAGCAGCAGTAACCCAAGTGTAATGGTCCCTGTTGAGAGCAACTGGATTCCCTTTAGTCAGGTCGTTTAATATACGACTTCATCAAACGATACACGAGTTCACCTAAGTGAGAAGAAGAGCTCCATAAACCTCGGGGGAGGTTTACGTCTGAGAAGCTGCATCAAAGTTTTACTTTGATTCGAAAGTTTAATTAGTCATTTTATTAACATGGTCATCAGACTCGTCGCTTCATTCGACCGAACTCGGGTATTAATAATCGCATGAATTAGGAGATGAAGAGCGTTCGTTAAAGAGATAGTCGGACATCAGTTTCATGACTGTTCTGGCAGAAATATGACCGCACGTGTTTTAGGGTTTCCATCGTTTCTGCTGCTAGAGTTAGGAGAAAATCAGTTAGTGCTCGTCAACGTTACTAGGGGTGTCCCGTTTGGACATCGATATCAGAAATCTGCCGTATACGCTGTCCATTCTCCAGCAGCTCCAGCTCCAGCATCAGAACAGCACATGCTAGTGACGTAGCAAGGACCGATGTCGGTTGGTTAGAGACAGTGAGCCATGCACAGGGTTCCCAAGGCGGAACAGAACCGGGACAGTTTACGACGTCCTACCGCGTCGCACGCTTGAAGCAGCTGCTTCACAAAACCAGCAGCAGGATCTTCTGAGTGTGAAGTTTAAACTTGGGACACAACTTGTAGCCGTTGGCCAGAGGACAACATTGTGTTTTTATTACCCCCCCCCCCCCCCCCCCTCTCAGCTGTTCTACCAACTTCACACATGACTGAAGTGACCTTGAATTAGTGTTTCTGCTCTATTGTGACCCCGCGAGGAGAGGTGACCATTGAGCAGGGATGATGGTTTATCCCTTGGGTCCACGTGGCGGGGGTGAGGAGTGAGCTCACCCCCGCCACGTGGACCTCAACCCTGCTCAATGGTCACCTTCCCTCGCCCATAAAGACAGTGGGAGGGTAAAAATAAATCTTATTTATTTACTTTACATATTTTTCAGTCTTTTCATTTAATATTAATTTGTTATACATTATTTTAAAGGTTTAATGTTGAATAAAAACTGGGTGTTTTTTAATGCTTACTGATGCCGGCTCTTGTTCTGCGAGTATCACTCGAGCCTTCCGTACGTTCCACACTACCAAACAGGTAAAGGTGTGTATGACGTGTGCTGACATCGTCCATACTGCAGGCTGCAGCACGTGTGTGGTATCGGAGGTGAAAAGGCTGCATCGGGTCATCCCCAACAGCTGCCCACATTGATCAGTGGAAATCTACATCGTATTGTCAGGCGCCCAGAAAAAGAAAACACTGCCAAGGGAAACCCACATCCTCTAAATAAACAGTCTAGTGATTGTCGTTAGCCTGTCTGTGTTTCAACTGTACTTTTTCTTTTTCACACCACTCTTGTTGTTTTTGCTTATTTACTTGGTTACTTGGTTAACCAGCAGCTCGGTTTGTCCGTAACGTTTGTTTGGTGCACCCTGATTGGTGAATAATGGAATCAAAACTAATGTCTATACTAATTTATTTTAGGAAATGAGCTAAAAAGTACTTAAGAGAAAAATATTAAATGAGACCTAAATAAAGGAGTGATTTGATGACGTTCTACATCCATAATGTTTCATAGATGACTTCATTTCTTTTTTAGTTTAAATCTTTATTTGGTTAATTTGATTACTACATTTGATCATTTATTCAGTACATGTTATTAGTGGGTAGAGTACTAGTTTGCTAGCAACAACACTTCCTGAGTTCACTAGCTGACGAACGGAGTTAGAGCTGAACAATAAACACATAAAATGTAAAGAACTGCCAAGCTTACAACTAACTAAAATACCATATAGTGGATCTGAGAGTCGCCACCCTCCGTGCCCACGCCATCCCATAATATGTTGCCTTAAATGTACTGATGAATTAAAGGACTTTCATTAAATGCTTTTAAAAACATTTAACCAATAAGAAGAATTCATCTGCAACGCCTCTTTGGCTAATTTGATTTCCAAAGTAAAGCCAGAAGGCTAAACGTGTAGTTGGCTGTCATCCATGTGACGGACACCTTATGAAGCTCTAAATCACAACGAGTCGCCTCAAGGACCTGCACACAGTAAACAATACAGGTCAGGTCATTAAGCCAATCAGTAACAAGTTTCCTATATAAGGAACCCAGCAGGTCGCATCGAGTCACTGACTAGTGTCAGAGTCTTTACAGCAATCCTCATACTGAGCAAGCATGCAGCGACAGTGGAGAGGAAAACTCCCTTTTAACAGGATAAACCATTAACATGGTTGCTGCGGTTCCACACGACCTACTCACAAAGTAACAGGATGTTTGTTCATCATTACTGGTGGATGGTAATGTCAAGGTTGCCTCATTTCTTAGTCTTCAGGTGGGTCATGGGGAGCTGGTGTCCGTCTTCAGTCATGGGCCAGAGGCGAGGGACATCATGGACACGTCTCCAGCCCATCACAGACCCACGTAGGGACAAATCACCAGTCACTAGCCGCTTTCATAAGAACCCTGACTACACTGCCTCACAGCTTTTATGAATTATTGGTACCATAAACCACTTTGGCTTTAATCCATTCAGGATGTGTACCCGTTTGGATTTGGTGCAATGAAAACTAATCTCCATGTCTTCATACTGAGGTCGCTCACTGAACCATTTAAAATATGAAACTTTAATTTTTTGTTTTGTTATTCAAGTTTTTTTATTAAGTTTTCCAAATGTTTACATACAAACAAAAACAAAATACCCAAATAACCCACCCCCTTGCAGTACAGGCTAACTCAAAACCACTCACAACCACCATTCATAATCATTTCAAAACATGCTATCCAACAACTTTTATAACTTTTTACCAATAAAAAACAAAAATTCATTCCAGGTTTCAAAATATGACTTTTTTCCCTTCATTTTAGCAATTAATAGTTCATAAGATGCAATCTCTGTCATCGTTATTATCCAGTCTCGTAAGCAGGCGCCTCAAACTTTTCCATTTACGCAGTATGACTCTAGCTGCTGACGTAAAGCCTGTAAGAGCCAAGGCCCCTGCCGTTGTAGATATACTCGGTACACACGATAAGTCTCCTAATAAACAAAGTCGAGCGGTTTCCGGGAGCAGTATACCCAACCACTCTTGCATTGTATTCAGTATTTTTTTCCAAAAAGGCTGAACAACATAGCATGACCACACAGAATGAATAAAAGTACCTTCCTGCCTTTTGCAGGGTTAGGGTTATTCTTCATTAAACTCATTTTATAAAGACGAACCGGTGTAATATAATATCTATGGATTATCTTATAATGTGTCAGCTTTCCTCGTGCTTCCCTGGTAAACCATCCCATATTGGACATTATCCTTTGCCATGAATCTCCATCCAACCTTATGCTTAAATCCCTCTGCCAAGCATGCCTTAAGCCATCATAATTTCCATATAATACTGTGGCTGCCATCTTATAAAACATAGATGCTGACTGATACTTTTCTGCCCATTTCAAATAGAGCTGTACAACATCGTCCTCTTCCGGCAGCTCCTTAACCAAACTGTCCAAGCTACTTCTTATCTGGAAATATCTCCATAAGTTACCTATATTATCCACGTTAAATGGTAGCCTCAAGTCCTGATAATCTGTTGTCGATTAGATCCTCTAATTTTCTCACGCCCCTCTCTCTCCACGTATTCCAGCAGATGACTTCCTTTCCCACCCTTATTGCTGGGTTATACCAAATTGATGAGTATAATTGTTTATACTGGGCTATCTTTAACCATTTGTGCCATTTGGTCCAGATATTTTTAGAACGCTGTAATATTGGATTATTCTCTTTATACTCAGCTTCCTTCTTTTGTGCTCTTTTTTGTGACACAGCTTCTAAAGGCCAAAAGGGGGCAGTAAATTATTTTTCTAGAGCTACCCATCCTAAATAAGTCCTCTTTACCACCATTTTTTGTTAAATTAGCCACTTCAAAGGCGATGTTATACAGCTCCACATTTGGCGAAGCAAGACCCCCGTCCCTTCTTGTTACGTACAGTTTTTGTTGATTTATCCTTGGTTTCTTTCCATTCCATAGATAATCCTTTACCATCTGATTACAGTGAGAATAATACTCTTCACTTATTTAAATCGGAAGCATCATTGACAAATAATTAAATTGTGGCACAATCACCATTTTAATGTATTAATTTTCCCAATAATGTTAAATTGAGTGCTTTCCATTTCTCCAGGCTGTACTTTGTCTTAATAAGGAGAGGAGCCTATTAATGCGCATTATATCTGTTATATTAGCGCACAATACTTCATCCCAGTTGAGAGCCATTTAAAAGTCCCTGCAGTCACCATGGTAGAATAACAAGCTCTAGAAATGAGACTTTATTGACCAAAACTTTCCTTAGCAGGCCTTTCCAACCCCAAACATCTGAACTATGGCTTTGATGCTGGTGCAGGAGGGTTTCCGGTGAGAGGAGGGCGCAGTCTGCGCGTTCATGCTGTAGTTTTCATCACCTTTAGATGCTGGAGGGGCTTGGAGACCCTCTGAGTTTCTCCCACAGAGAGAAAAAAGCTGAATTAAGGCGAGTTTCGAGCCTGAACGCAGAAGTTGGTCCTCCTGCTGCTCAGTGACTTCTTATTTCCTCCACAGCTGTTGCTCGTTTTCTCACCGAAGTTAAACACTCTTAACTCCATGAATACTCGCATCTCCTTGGTTTCTGCTCGTTTAGATACTTATTTATAAACCATGACCGTATTCTGGAGGCAAAGCCCGAAACTCACCGACCGTCCAGCGGCGGAGACTCTCTCTCTCTCTCTCTGAGGAGTTATCTTCTGCAGAACTTCATTCCTCCACAAAGTCAGCTCTTCTAAACCGGCTCCACTCTGGTTCGTCTCTAAATCTACAATCGTCCGAGTTCGGGATGTTTCATTGATTTGGGAAGCTTCTCCTAGAAGAAACCACTCCTTGTTGCTTTGTCCAGCGGTGATGTCATGCGGAGCCTCCCCCGGTACCGACCCCCACACACGGGGTTAACCGTTTACTGGACGGCTGGAGCCCGTCATCACACCATCCTAGTCATGTATTACTGACTTTGATGCTTATTCATAAAAAGGTTATTAAACAGAAATAGTTTTTTTTATAAAAACCCTAATTTCGTTAAATGTTACTGTATATTTTAACTCATTTAACTACTATAACTACTTAGAAAATACACATTTGTTCTTTATTTACGGAAATAATAGTTACATAAGGGGTATTTTACTTTATCTACACAAAACAATATGTACTTTTATTTAATTTGTTTATTTGTAAAAGAACAGGTGAGGGTATTATGTTAACGTTAACGTATCTATCTATCTATCTATCTATCTATCTATCTATCTATCTATCTATCTATCTATCTATCTATGTATCTATCTATCTATCTATCTATCTATCTATCTATCTATCTATCTATCTATCTATCTATCTATCTATCTATCTATCTATCTATCTATCTATCTATCTATCTATCTATCTATCTATCTATCTATCATTTACTGTTTCGATTTATTAAACTTGCCACAAATTATGAGAACAAATATCAACGAATGTTTCTTTAGCGTGAAAAGGGGAGTTGCGCTTCTTTGGTGATGTTAAAAGTTCCAGCATTCAGACAGTGCACTGAAACGCAACACAGGCCACGTGACCAAAAGCAGGAAGTGAGTTGATTGTCAACAGCAAACGGTGAGTGAGTCACTTTTACCATCGTCCTCGGCGTTTCTAGCCTTTATGTTTGACAGGTCTGTGTTATTTAAACGTTAGTTAAGTAATTCTAATTGATCACACTGGATGAAACTTTCACGTTTAACGTAGCAAATCGCTTGTTTCTGAAGGACATGCTAGGCAGCTAGTCGACAGTTTCCTTAGTCAGCCTGCAGAAAAGAAGTGTTAGGTTTTATAATGTTAGTGAACCGTGTTGGTTTACATTATGTCTTGGCTATTCTGGGAAACTTATGTGTAAACAGACGTACACTCGTGTAACATTTTACGTGAGGAACATCTCGCTTTAGCATCGTTTTCTATCGATCTCTGTAATCCAGGAATGTGGATGTTGTATTTTCTGTCATTAGAAGTTCGAGATGGCCTCTTCAGATTGGCACCTGTCCCTGAAGCTGGTGGATCAGCCCAAATCCACTTTCCACTTCCCAGAGATGATGCCAGGGGACGTCCCACCTGGAGGATACAGAGTGGCCACCTTAAAGCAGCTGGTAGCAGCTCAGCTTCCGGACTCCGTCCCGGACCCTGAACTAATAGGTCTGTCCGCATGAGCTGCAGGTAGTCAGATGGAGTTTTTAACTGTCCTGTCTGTGCTTTGACCAGAGCTGGTTCACTGTGGCCGGAAGCTAAAGGATGATCTGACGCTGGATGCCTGTGGAGTTCAGCCAGGATCCACCTTACATGTCCTCAAAAGGATGTGGCCAGAGCCAGAGAGCAGTCCAGGTCTCTGTCCGCTTGTGTGTCACTTAAAACAAACGTGAATGCATTCATGAATCTGAATGTGTGTCATTTTGTTTTTGTATTTGCGTAGAACCTGTGAACAGAGCAACTGCAGCTCGGGAGTTCAAGGTGTTCCACGCTGCTCTTCATTCTCTCAGCTCAGCCTATAGAGACTCCGTAAGTAGAGGATCCATGGACCTCACAGAGCTGTGCTGAGTATCAGACACGTATTCAACATCTAAAAGAGCTGCATTTGAGTTATGGGTGATCATTATAGATGACACATTTGATATTTCCGGTTTTAATTACAAACCTAGATTGGATCTTACCTTCACAGCTCTCTACGTTCCATCTGAAGCCGGCACAAGTGATCAAGTTTAGTGTTGGTAGTTATAAAAAGTCCTTCTCAGTGCAAATATATAATTAATCAGATGGTGATTATTAGGGATGGACAGCATATCGGTATCGGCCATTGTTAGTCATTTTTAACGTATCGGTATCAGTTCGATAAATGAAACCGGGCCGATATTATCTACCAATCTTTGTTCCAACTAGTTGCCATTTGTCTGCCTGTTTCAGAGGGTGTGTGTGTGTGTGGGGGGGGGGGGGGGGGGGGTGATGTGTAATTGTTTAGTCATGTGAACAGTGAATGAAATCATCTCGGAACCATAAATGTGTGTGTTGTGCGTACATAATAAAGTAAATTCAGCTTTAATAACTTTTATCTATACAAAGTCTGCTGGTTTTAGAAGCATTAATGTCAGTTTATCGGTATCGGCCCAAAAATTTCACATCGGTGCCTCACTAGTGATTATACTAAATACATATCATGCACATCCCTCTGAAAGGACACGTGTTCATATTTGCATTTCAGCACATTGTGGTATCAACTCACATTTAGAGCTTTGTTGGTAAATAGTGGGCAGCACAACCTTCATCAGCTGTGGAGCAGAACTCCCAAAGTACAATAAATAAATAAACACGGTAAGACAAATATGTTTCTGTCCAAAGAGAGTTCTGCAGCTGTAAGATGGATTTTAAGGTCCACATATAGAAAAGAAACATGGAAACAGCAAATAAAGCAATTCATATACTAGAAACTGCTCAAAATTGTGCTTGAAGCAACCGAGCTGTCGTTGTCATCATCGTCGTCTTCCTCCGCTTATCCGGGTCCGGGTCGCGGGGGCAGCATCCCAACTAGGGAGCTCCAGACCGTCCTCTCCCCGGCCACCTCCACCAGCTCCTCCGGCAGGACCCCAAGGCGTTCCCGGACCAGATTGGAGATGTAACCTCTCCAACGTGTCCTGGGTCGACCCGGGGGCCTTCTGCCGGCAGGACATGCCCGAAACACCTCCCCGGGGAGGCGTCCAGGAGGCATCCTGACCAGATGCCCAAACCACCTCAACTGGCTCCTTTCGATCCGGAGGAGCAGCGGTTCTACTCCGAGTCCCTCCCGAATGTCCGAGCTCCTCACCCTATCTCTAAGGCTGAGCCCGGCCACCCTACGGAGGAAACTCATTTCGGCCGCTTGTATCCGCGATCTCGTTCTTTCGGTCATTACCCAAAGCTCATGACCATAGGTGAGGATTGGGACGTAGATCGACCGGTAAATCGAGAGCCTGGCTTTCTGGCTCAGCTCCCTCTTCAATTCAATTCAAAAATACTTTATTAATCCCAGAGGGAAATTGATTGCTGTAGTAGCTCAGAATAATAATAATAATCAAGTCATCAAAGATTTGTTGTATATTACAATGGCTGTTGGCAGGAAGGATCTCCAGTAGCGGTCAGTGTTGCAGCCAAACTGAAGAAGCCTCTGACTGAAGACACTCTTCCGTTGTCGGACAGTCTTGTGAAGAGAACGCTCAGGGTTGTCCATCATTTTCTTGATTCTCTGGAGAATCCTTCTTTGCATTACCTCCTCCAGCGGTTCCGAAACTGCTGAAACTCTGGATGAGTCCTCGAAAGGGCTTGGAGTTCCTCCATCTTGTTGGCCAGTGATCTCACATTGCCCATTACGATCGATGGAAGAGATGGTTTGAATTTCCTCTTTATCTGTCTCCGTTTGGCTCCCGCTCTGCACCCACGCTTCTTGCGTTTTAGTTCATCTGGGATTTGTGGCTTCAGTTGAGGTATTATTTCAGCCTTTCCAATGTTAATTAGCTCCTCCCGATTGTAAACAAACTTGTTGCCATGGTTACACATCATAACAAATGCTCAAAAAGTGAAAAAAGCTAAAAAATAGCAGTAAAAATCCTCCAAGCTTCACAGCACCAGAAACAGAAAAGTAAAGTGTCCAAAAAAATACTGTTTTTCTTGAGAAACTAGAAGAAAAAATGCCCAAGAAAAGGCAAAACTTACATATAGTCAACAGAGCTACTCCAACATGCAGCCGCCCAGAGCAGCGCCGTTCCAGAAAAAAAAATAATAATAATAATTCACCACGACAGATCGGCTCAGCGTCCGCATCACTGCAGACGCCGAACCGATCCGCCTGTCGATCTCCCGATCCCTCCTACCCTCACTCGTGAACAAGACCCCGAGATACTTAAACTCCTCCACTTGAGGTAGGACCTCTCCCCCGACCCGGAGTTGGCAAGCCACCCTTTCCCGGTCGAGAACCATGGTCTCAGATTTGGAGGTGCTGATCCTCATCCCAGCCGCTTCACACTCGGCCGCGAACCTACCCAGCAAGAGCTGAAGGTCAGAGCTGTTCACATGAATATGAATGTGTTTGCATTGGTAAATGGTCTGTGTTTGATGTTGTCCCCCTTCCCCCCCCCCCCTAATTAAGCTTTTTCTATATGTTAAGTAGGGGAAATGTCCTTTATGCTGTAATTTATCTCGTAGATCAGTTCACACTGGACTGCATGGTGGCGCAGTGGTTAGCGCTGTTGCCTCGCAGCGCGAAGGTTGCAGGTTGGAAACTCGGCTGCGGCCTTTCTGCGTGTTCTCCCCATGCATGCGTGGGTTTCCTCCGGGTACTCCGGTTTCCCCCACAGATCACAACACGCCCTATAGGTTATAAATTGTAAGTCGCTTTGGATAAAAGCGTCTGCTAAATAAATAAACATAAACATATGAAAAGCCGAAAATCTCATCTTAAATTTGAGCCCAGCGTGTTGGAGAAGTTTAAAATCTGGAGACAGATTCATGAAGGCCGCCTTCAGAAGGAGGAGCAGACTCCAGAAATGAAACTACATCCGTGTAAAACGTTTTCTTTGGTTTTATTTTAAACGGTCTTGTATTAATTAAACCCGTTACACCCCGCAGTACTCAGGGAGTTAAAGCGGTTTGTTCCCCGGAGAAGCTTCCTGCTGGTAGGAAAACAGGTAAATGGAGAAAATTGGATTTGTGTGGAAGGAACGCCGAAGACCTGAATCTGTCAAACGTAGAAAGAACAGAAACGAAAGGTGATGATGATGATGAAAACAGCTGATCCGTAACCACTCAGCTGGAAAGGCTGTGTTGCTCAGGTGTGGCTCAGGTGTGGCTCAGGTGTTGCTCAGGTGTGGCTCAGGTGCGTCTGACGTGTAAAACCAGATGCTTTAGCTGGGCTCAACTTTTAATATCATGAATCTTAATCTGCTCCTTTATCCTAATGTAACAGAACCCCGTTCACAGGAAGTTATACACCTGCTAACGTTGGTCTAATCCTAATCCACACCTACGTTCTGTTTGAAGGGATTAAACCAGAACTAGAACATTAGGAGAACCAAACCTCTTTGTTCTCATCTTCAGGTTTATAAAATGCTGACGAACAAAGAGTCCCTGGATCAGATCCTCGTGGCCACACCTGGGCTCAGGTCCGACCCGGTTGCTCTAGGTAAGACTCACTTGTATCCAGCTGCTGTAGATGATGTGGTTCTGACCGTCTCCCTTTGGACCATCCAGGAGTGCTTCAAGACAAAGACCTGTTTGTGCAGTTCACAGACCCAAACATGCTGGACATGTGAGTTTGACCCGTATTGCTCTTCAGCACTTGTGAGAAATTCTGTACCAGAACTACGTCTGTCCGCCAGATTAATCGCTTCACATCCGGCTCTCGTCAACGCCATCATCCTGGTTCTGCACTCGGTGGCTGGCAGCATGCCCGCCCAGTCCAGCGCCAGCTCCTCTCGCAACGTCTCTGCCAGTTCCTATAGCGACATGCCAGGTGTGGTGGAGTGTGCGTCACTGAAAGGGAGGAGCCAACACACCTGGTTTCACTGAAGCTCCTTGTTTTTGCTTTCCTGTCTTCTGACAGGAGGCTTCATGTTTGAGGGCATGTCAGATGATGAGGAGGAATTCCCGTCCGTAAGTCCATCCCTGCATCCCAGCCTCCTTCTGTGAGTAGCTAGGGTGGAGAATGATCGTGTGTGTGTGTGTGTGTGTGTGTGCGTGTGTGTGTGTGCGTGTGTGTGTGTGTGCGTGTGTGTGTGTGTTTGTGCGCGTGTGTGTGTGCGTACGTGTGTGTGTGTGTGCGTACGTGTGTGTGCGTGTGTGTGTGTGTGTGCGTGTGTGTGTGTTTGTGCGTACGTGTGTGTGTGCGTGTGTGTGTGTGTGTGCGTGTGTGTGTGTGCGTGTGTTTGTGTGTGTGCGTACGTGTGTGCGTGCGTGCGTGCGTGTGTGTGTGTGTGTGTGTGTGTGTGTGTGTGTGTGTGTGTGCGTGTGTGTGTGCGTACCTGTGTGTGTGCGTGTGTGTGTGTGTTTGTGCGTGTGCGTACATGTGTGCGTGTGTGTGTGCATGCGTGTGTGCGTGACAGGGGAGTCCAGCCGGACCCTCGAACCGAGGCAGCCTCTCGGCAGGAGTCCGACCCGTGTCTCTGGGCCACAGCGGAGCAGCAGGTCCTCGACCCATAACGCAAAGCGAGCTAGCAACTGCGCTGGCCCTCGCTAGCACCCCTGACAGTAGCGCTGTTACCCCGACAACATCAAGCCAGGTGAGATATATCCCTTCTATGGTCCCTCACCTCTGACCTTAACCTCGACCAGGTGAGGCCTGCGGAGCTTTATAGGTTGTTCTGGTCCCTTAGAACGCGTTGTGCTGCTTTAGAGACGTGTTAGCTGACTTCCTGTTGTCGGACAGGCCTCACACAAGTGGTTTATTGTTTCCACAGGTCTGGCTGTAGTCTACCTGGGTAGTCTAGTGCAGCTGCAGCCTGCAGCTGCTAGCGCCGTGGCTAGAAGTGACTTTAAGTACAGTTGTAATAAAATGCAGGTTTAAGCAGATTTTCAGTTTTTTCATGAAATAATTGACTTGGACTTCCACTAGAAGTCTCTGAGCTATTTTAGGACCCGTTGGGTTTCTAACATCATCTCTCACAAATCCACATCCTGCAAGGAAAACTGTTAGATTTTTTTATTCATTTAAAATGTAATTAAAGAAACAAAATACGAGTCTCTCCTGTTTTCTTGTGTTTTCATTGATGAAGGTGGACCCGTCTGGTGGCTCAGCCCCCATGCCAGCTGGCACCCCAGTCAGCAATGATCTCTTCAGCCAGGCTCTACAACAAGCTCTGCAGGCCACCAACATGTCTGCTCTCCAGGTGAGCAGCCATCTAAAGCCGGCGCCGTGTGCTCGGCGCCTGGCAGGATTAGGGTGTAAATAACAGTAGCCAGGTGTTGTTTGGACAGGATTATTTTTCTGAACTGGTTTTTCTGTCGCCAGGGCCGCTGGCAGTCCCAGCTGCAGCAGCTCAGGGACATGGGGATCCAGGATGAAGAGCTGATGCTGAGGGCGCTGCAGGCCACAGATGGCGACATCCAGGCTGCCCTGGAGCTCATATTTGCTGGAGGCCCGGGTCTCTAAGGCCAAACCCCCACGGACGAAGCCCAACATGGAGACTGATCTACTTCACATCAGTGATGGAGAAAATAGGACTTGGACTTGAGTGTTGCCTCGTTCTCGAACATTAACCAGTTTCAGCCCAGATCCACGGCTTCTTCTTCTTAAAGTGCTCTCCGATAATAAAGTTTACAGCTTCGGTCTTATTTCACTTCAGATATCATTCATTAGCTGTTTACTCTGTAAACAGACATCAACAAAGAAAACAGCATTTATTTTGAAGGTAAATGGATGATTAATAAGCTGCACCTTTCAGAGTAAGAGGACTCACCTACAGCAGGGGCGGCCACCCCGCGGCTCTTAGGGTCGTATCTGAGTTTGTGTTTTTAATGTGTGTGTGTGCATGTGCGTGCGCGTGTGTGCACACCTTCAGAGTGCATCGTTGGAGAGTGACGCCGTTGCTGTGTGTGATCTACTTCTGGTGCCTCATGTATAAAACCTGCTTATGCAAATACGGGCTGAGATAAATGTTCAAAACGAATAAAACATTTTGGGATTCATGAAAACAAACATGACCGTATATATTTTGAACGTTGTGTGCGCGAGACATGAAACCACAGTGCAGCCGGTGAGATGGCAAAAGGATCAATTTAAGATCTGTAGACCTTCACGGAGACACACACACCCAACACTCAGGTTCCTTTCAACATTGAAGCAAATTATCTGAGAGGTTGGCTGATGTTGCTTTGATAGGATGAACAACATTTCTTTGGATTAAATAAAGTTTCATTAAACATCCCCTCACAGGCCGTCATCACTGAGCTCCATCTCTCACATCGACAGCTGCAGCATCTCTGCTCGGACCGCTTCGTGACCCCGTGACCCTGAGCGAAGGATGAAGTGGACAAGGAACAATTTAAAAATAACGAAAATTAAATTCTGTTGAAAATGTAAATAATATAAAAATTAATCAGTGATGGAAGAAAACAGATTATGACCAGATGTTTTTGCACAAAACTTCACCTTACACTCAGGACAAGCTTTACTTTCAGTATCTGTAAAATTTAGCAGTTATTGTGTTTCAAATGACCCAAAACAGCATGTAGTAACAGAAAAACAGGTTTGTAAATTACACTTTTGTTTGTGGACGGTGCACCCAATGTTCATCGTTAAAAATGACCAGGCTGCAGTTTTAGTACTGTGTGTGTGTGCGTGTGTGTGCGCGCCCATGTGAACGATGTGGCTCACACAGTAAAACGTGGCTCTGGTCTCTGACTGGTTAGCCACCCCTGCACCACAGTGTCTGCTTCATCACACCTGATTGAGTTACCTGTTCAGTTACTTCAGCTCTGCATGAGCCTGTCGGTCAGCTCTGAGTCAAACCAGGTGAGTTGGAGCAGAGAAACAACCCAACACGCTGGCCAGAGGAGCAGTGTTGAAGCTTTAGAGGAATTGTGATAAATTGATGAGATCCAGAAGTAGGAACATCTGACTGGTTCTGGAGCTCCAGCAACTCCAAGGTTTCCGAGATTTATCAGAAAACACAAAAAAACGTTTGTATTCAGTCAGCTGTGTGTGACGTCTGTTGGGTTTGCCCATGTAGTTCTCTAGTCTAGACACTAGATGGCAGTGTAGTAGTTCTACCCTGAACAGTTTAACTGAATGAACTTCTGCTTTGGATCGATGTGTTGATGAATGTTTTTGCTGTTCAACATTTCAATCATTAGCTTGAAAGCAGATAGGAGGAGCCCTGTTCCTGTGAGGCCCACCAGCTTTATTACAGCAGACACTTTGTCTCATCGTCTCCCATTAGAGCGTTTCAGGGGGGAGCAGATCAGCCCTCCACCCCCACCATCTACAGTAATTGCCCTGCTTGGTTTTATTGCTGCATCTGCTGATGTGACGGCTCAATCAGTGGATTGGCCTTTCATGAACGCAGCTCTTTGTGTCCGTCTGTCCTGGCCACCGTTTTATGACGCGCACCTGCAGCAATTCCCCCTCCAAGGGCGTTTTTAAAATAAAGCATGTCCACTGTGCTGAAGGAGACGGTAGCAGTGATTCAACACAACAATAGTGAATAAAAGTGGCTTTTCAGCACTAAAGAAGAGACGGTTGGGTAGCTCGTGGAGGGCTGAGGAGTTGTGCTTTGACGCCTCGGTGGCTACGCTGATGCACTAATAAATACCACTCAGGGTTTCTGAGTAGCATCAGGCTTTTCTACAACTGTCTTCATGAAGATGAATCCCTTTGAAGAAACATAGATTACATGTAATCACGTAGAAAAACACTGAAGCGGTTCTGTCTGGAAACCCTTTCTGACCTCAACATTTAATTATGGGCTTGAAGCTGAGCGGTCGACGAGTACAGCGTTTAATCTGAGTTTGTACAAATATAAGTTCTAGTAAATATAAGTTCTAGTAAAATACATTTTGGATGAAGGAGAGCACGGATTTATTTTAAGATGCCGGATAAATAGTTCAAGCTGTTAGAGCAAATTTGGAAATCTACTTACCTTAAAACATATTTTCGTGTTTCTTAACAATGTTCTAACATAGCAACGAATATATTGTGGACATAAAATAATAAGTGGCTCTCTCACATTTATAGCAACCAACCAGTTGTCGGTTCCCTGGGTCCTCCACATTGCTCCGGCATCGCAGGTTTCTGGTTCCGGCAGAAGCGTTTCCAGGTGGATACCCAAGCAGAGGGGTGAGTGTTGGTGACCGTGTTTATGTTCAAAGCCGAGCTTCTTCTGTAGATTTGGCATAACGGCTTTAACGTGACTGCAGATGTGTTTTAACAAGTGTTTATCGACCTTTGAACTGGGGATGCCCCGTTCTGATATTGATATCGGAAATAGGTCCGATATCGGCCCAAAAAATTATACCAGACTGCATTGAAATAATCTCCAATATATGCAGTCCGTTCCACTTTAAACTCAATTCCAGCTGTTCTACCCAGCAGTGCATGCTAGCAAAGCAGCTAGTCACACGTGTGACGTCGGCCGTGTGGCGGTATATTTCAGCGTGGCTCAGTGCAACACTTGTCAGCAGGGGCGTCGGACTGGGGGGGGGGGGAGGGTACCCTTTACCCAGGGCCCACTGCAGGGAGGGGCCCTGAGACAGGTTTGAATAAAAATGTTTTATTGTTGTTGTTTTTTTTCCCCAACTTACTTAATGTCTTAATAAACTTCCCTTTACCTGGATAAAGATGTTAAGAAACAGAATTTCGCCTTAAAAATAATAACTGAATAATCTCTGAGGCATCTATCACCCCTTAAAAATGTGCAAAGTGGTTTAGTCCACACCAGCGGCCAGGGGCTGCACGGCCGCATGTACAGCTAAGGAGACATCGCAGATGCCGACAGAGCTGGAGGCAGGAGAGTCAGTCATGTCTTTTCCCAAGAAAGGGAAATCTGGCTTCCAGAAAAGAAAAGAAGGAGAACAAGTTAATTGAACAGAAGCAAGTATTGACTAGGTTTTTCAAGAAGGACGGTGAGCAGCAGCAGAGCACAGTTTTAGCTGATATTAGCTAGCTCTCAGAAGCTGCATTCATGTTAGGTGTTCAGTGTTAAACGCCTTTAGTTTCACCATCAAGATCAAATATAAATTAATTAGTGTTATCAGTGATAACACTAATTAATTTATATATATATTAATCAGAATTATTATCGCGGGTGTCCGCCGCCAATTAATTTGCGGACCTCGCAGTAAAAACAGGTTCACTCTGTGTGGATATTTCAGCTCCTTCCCGGTCATGGACCAGGACAAACTTGGTATCGATGGATTCGTGGTAATCTCAGGAATGAGAAGCTGCCACTGTTTTTCTATAGCATGATGACACTGGTGTTAGAGGATTGTTATTGACTTGGTTAGATATTTTAAGCCTATTTTAAATTTCTTTATATTTGATCTTGAAAACGGACAATCTTATAATTTGGCTGATAATGCAGGGATTATAAAATTTAGAGAACATTACATTCACAGAGAGAACCTGGTTTATTTCATGTCATATGTATTTAATATATCAATATATATTGTTATTCAATTTACAAGCAATCATTAGCAGCAGATTTATCTGAAAGGACATGTTAGGTCATATTTTGGAGGATGCATTCAGATACAACATATTTTTTGTTGCAATGGATGCCATCATCAGTGACTTGAGTGTAAGGTTTCAGACCACAGCAACCCTATGTGAAACATTTGCCCCTTTTCTGAACCATGACAGACATGACTGAAGAGCAGATGAAGACATCATGCCAGGCACTGATGAGAAAATATTACAAGGATCTCACAGCTGATTTTGAGAATGAGATGCTACACCTGAGAACGATATCTGGTGCCACATTTCCACACATTCGGTCTCCTCTTGAGCTGCTTAATGCCATCTACAGGATGCAATTACAGAGCATTTTTGGATAAGTTTGTATTGGACTGGGGGATATTTTGCACACTACCTGTGACTGTTGCTGGGGGTGAACGGGCTTTTAGCAAACTGAAACTGGTGAAAAATTATTTGAGATCAACAATGTCCCAGGATAGACTGAACAGCCTAGCTCTTCTTTCTATTGAAAGCCAATTAGCCAAAGGATTGGACTTTAAAGATCTCATAAGTGATTTTGCTAACATGAAGACCCGTCAGTGGGCATTTACTGGAAAATAAATTCCAGGATTTTTGTTTGAACACATTGTTGGCAAATAAAAATAATTATATGTGAAGTCTGGGCATTTCACTTTTATTATGCTGGCATTTGTATTTGCTCAATATAGAGGTTAAAGTAAGATCATATTTATTATCTTGTCTTATAGCATGACAAAAAATGTGTAAGAGAGATATTAAACAACTGAGCATGGGGCCCACCTAGAAGACTTGTACCTAGGGCCCAGAATTTGGTGCTACGCCCCTGCTTGTCAGGCACAAGTTTAACATGGTGGAACAGAACTGGGGACGTTTAATTTGTCCCACCTCATTGTGCATTTGAAGCAGCATCACTAAACACTGAGGATTTTCACACGTGTGAAATTAAACTTTGGTCACTCAGCTTGTAGTAGTTGGACAGAGAACTTTGTTTTTCTTATGTCCCTGCCCTCAGCTGTCATTAGCTGACCTAAAAATAAGTGACGCTGAATTTGTATTTTGTTCTTTAAAAATATCTTTTTGTTTTATTTCTTGTACGTTTACTTCTGCATTACTGTAAATGTTATGTTCTGGAGTTGTTTCTGGAGTTGTGAGGTTATTCACGGCAGTGGAGTTGACCACTGCAGCACAGAAACACTCATCCATTCATCTGTTCACTGAATGAATCTAAGTTTACATGAAGACCAACAGGTGATTCGATCATGATGTTTGTGAAACTACCTCTGAAGGACAGCCAAGGCTATACAGGTGTTAGAAGCCATCCCATAATCAGAGCTGTTCTGGTGAAAGGTGGCTTTTTTTCAAGCTCTCTGGATTTGGTTCTTAGTCAGAACATGCGTGTTGTTGTTGCAGTAACGGAGGATGCATAGTTGTGAAAAGCCACCTCTGAAGCAGAGGCAGATAATAAACAACAAACAGGAGATCTCCCCACTGAATCCCACCTGCAGCTTTGAAACGGGCACAATTCTGCCCAATTACTCCCGCAGCACCTGGGATTTGGATAATGAGGGAGGTCCTACACCGTGTCATTACCCACAATATACCAAAGCAATGGAAATCATCAGTGCCAAGGCTGTTGAAAATGTGCAAACGCTCATTTAATCAAGCTTTCACAGACATGCAAAACAATACCAACAGTCTCCTCTGCAGATGAAATC